TCTTTTGTTCTTAACAGCGGCCGTTTCTAAAACGTAGGTGTATTTCTGTGTGCAAATAGTCAATGATGCGTGTCAAAGAGTCCATACTATACATCATAGTAAGTGTAAAATGCTTTGCCAGTTTGTCTCATAAAACGATAACGGTGCGGGGGTGGCAAAACAAGATCAACGCAACCTGGGCAGTAAGGTGGTTCCAGTGATGTGATATTAGAACATTATGTTTTTCGGAATGAGTTGCTAATTTCTTTTCCGTATCAGGGGGGTGGGGGGGGAGTAGCACTATTGATAACAGATGCCAGTTACTCTTTAGAACAGCCTGCTTCTCAGCTCTTATGAGTGCGTTGGTGTGTGTGTGTGTGTGTGTGTGTGTGTGTGTGTGTGTGAAGCGTGCTGACAAGTTACTTCTGGATTTGAGCCCTATAGCATTAGATACATCTGGCTGATAGATCTAGATCTAGATGAAGTGTTACAATGTACAGCTATGAAGTAAGAAAAGGAATGTTCTACTTAAAGACTCCCATCAACTGAAAATCTACAAATTTGACTCCAGTGTCGATTTTTGGCCAATTCTACATTTGTGAATTGCGAAAAGTAATTCATTTTGTCAGTACGCTTTACATATATTATATATATCATACATATAATACATATATAAGTGGACTTGGGAGGCTTTGTGCGCAAACTCCTCCCTTATTACCTAACCACCCACACCTTGAAACTTTCCAGGCGTCCAAAGCACCCATGTGGCTAGGACCTAACTTTAAACAATCCACGCAAACTGCTTTCCCCGATATTTCCTAAATGCTTTGTTTCGTCCACACAGGGTTCTAATCTTGGGAACGTTCGTCTTCTAAGACGCCATTGTAAGCAAGCGAAGTTTTCGTTCACTAGCCGTGCGCACGGTTTCCGTACCTATGAAATTATGGAGCGTACAAAAACGGAAGCGGAAAAGAGAATCAATCTTTACATCTAAATCTAGATCTGTTTTATATTTGGCTACTTGGAAACACATGGGCCACTTTTCTCTCAAGATGTATTGCTCCATTCCAGTAGAATGTAAACATAGTAGGCCAATGACTTTCAGTTGATGTTAATGCACCGATCATTCCTCTCATGGAAAGGGGGCCCAGCTAGTATATAATATTATATATGTAATATCTGCTCCCCAGGTTCGGAGTGGGGTGAACAAGGCTACATGCGGATTGTCAAAGGAAAGAACATGTGTGGGATCGCCTCCATTACTTTCTACCCCATCAACAGCAGTTGAGCTGATGGTCATTGGGGGGTCATTAGAGATGTGTGTGTGTGCGGCAGGGG